TCCCCCAGTCAGCATCCCCATGCTGGCTGGAGAATTCTGGGAGTTGAAGTCCACGTGTCTTAGAGTTGCCAAGATTGAGAAACACTGGAATGGAGAGTGGAAGTTCTAGATTTGGCAGGAAATTGCAAGTACTTTGATGACTTTGATAGCCACAGCTAGAATTTTAATCTATCTGAAAATTTAAATTATTTTCAGAAAATATCAATTTATATATTGCATAAGAGGTATAACCACTTGTGTAATCAGGGTACAGTTTAACTGTATTATTTTGGAAATGATTATATTCTCTTACAGAGCAGGTGACACAATCCAGCTGATACTGAAGTAAACTAGGAGCTTTCCAGCAAAGTTGCCCTCATGAAGTGTCAGAGAAAATGCCCTGATCAGAGGAAGCAGTAATACTTGCTGGGAATCAATCATCAGTGCAAACTGGCTACCACTGACACCTGCAACAGATGCAAAACTAACACGCAGTCAAGAGAAATCCTGCTTAATCTCACAAAAACAAAACGTAACTACTGTATGCTGGCTGCTAGGGAGAAAAAAGTCTGATTTCTTATTAAGGCAATATATTTATGAGGCCAACTAAAAGTCCCCAAAGTCACATGAAACCTTTCAAGCTCTCCAGCATATTTAATCAAACAAAACAGTAAATAAAGAATGTGAGCAGGAAGGTAATAATGCTAATGTATACCTTTAATATTTTTTTAAAAAGTCATAAAAAGGGAGACACTCACAGACATTCAAACTGAGCCCTACCAGGTGCAGCTATAGTTTCAGATGCCCTCTCAGAATCTCCCTTGGATTGCTCGACAAATCTATCTCAACAGCATATAAATCCAATGAATAACAAATGAACAAACCATGATTTATTTTCCTTTTTCAAAATATAGCATTTGGTTATTATTTAGAATTCTCTCCATTCTTAAATAAAACAAGCAAATTACAGGAAATGGAGGCAGAGGAAAAACTAAATGGTTCTTTAAAAGAAACAGGAATAATTTTAGAATCCATATTAGATTAAAAAAAAAAAGACAATAGAAAACCCAGTATTTTATAGTTGTAACTGAAACATTATTTTTAAAAAAAAGTATACCCCCAACTGTCTGATTTGTTTGCTACTTTTTAGTCCTAATACATTACATTGCCCACATTTCTCTGCAGCTGAATTTTATAGTTTCAAAACCGAAACATCAGCTATTTTTTGTTTTTTCATCTCAGTAATCCTAGAAAGCATGTTAGGTACAATCTGAAATCATCACATCAAACAGGCTCGTCTGAATATCTACAACCTCCTCCCATCTTAAAACTGAGACAAATGGACACTCCATGGCATTGGAAGCAGGCATTACCTCCTCCTCCTCCCCCCTCCCTCCCTCCCTCCCTATATGTCCTTGCCAAAGAGTTCTAGAGTTCTGAAACCTGCTTGTGTTATGGCTTCTGAGTCAGTCTAACAAAGATACTGACATTTTATCAAATAATCATTGACCATTCGCTCATTGGCTAGAAAAGGAGCATTTGTGGGGAGTATTCCTCACCCCTTGTTGTAAGATTCACTGCTCTACTCCTACTGAGTGTCACCTGGAAACTGGAAAGTTGGAGGAGAGCACATTCTGAACTCATATGCCAGCTAAAGAATGAAAGGCCACCAGTTGTTTTTCCAGCAAAAATAAACATGAAGGAAGATTGGTTAAATCAGTAACATATTCAGATAGCTCACTACTTTATTCTGGCTCAGAGAACAGAGCCTTACTCCATTATGTGAACCACTTTGAGAAATGTCTGAAAATGGGTTAAAATAGTAAACAAACAAACATCATGCTTCCAGTTTTAAAATGAATACTGCATTTTTCTTGTCCCAATACTACATGTGCTGGTAGCTTCAGAAGCCTGATCTTCTGTAAATGCACACACTATCAATAACAAAACAAATCTTACCAAACTTGTTTCTCTGTACATTCAGGAATGTCTGCATTTTCTCTTTTTGGGTCAAGTACTTGCTTCAATGTACTTATTTTATCCAAACACTGTGGTATTGGGATTTCAGGAAAACTCAGTTTAACAATATCTTCAGAACTGATGACAGCCTAAAGAGGTACATAATGCAAGTACGCTGTGATATGCTGGTTTATACAGAAGCAAAACAAAGTTTATGTTTAGAGCCTAGAAATTATTCCTGCTTATCCATAGGGAAACTTCCTTATGCAAATCTGTAATAGTGAACATTAGACTTATTTCAAAGATATAACAGTCATGTGGATTCCCAGTTAACTATCCAATTAAAATTTCAACTATCCTGAAAATCTAATGCACCATGGCCAACAAGCCAACATTGACATAAGTTCCTCATTCTTCAACAAAAATTAGGATGCTATAAAAAATAAATGAGTTACATTCTCATCTAATGACCCCTTCTCTACAGAATATCCCCCTATATCCTGTGCTCTATTTTTCAGCAGAAATCCTTTTATATAAGCATTTATTTTTCTCATAGAACCATACCAACATTGCTTGTAACTCAGGTCCAACTGGACTTACTTACATATCACTAATTCTTGATATTTTAAAAGTACTGTACATTTAATGGTTTCAGTGCTAGGATTTTGGCACCATTTTCCCTCTTCACCTGCTAGTACTTCTTCATTTGCCCACTCAGCCATTTAAACCTATAGTCTATTGCAATCCACATGATCTCCATAATAACTACATCTAATGAGAAGATGATGTAGATACTAAAATAAAATTACATGGGTATCATAGTAATATTCAGCAATGCATGAGCAAATGAGGATTATGAAGGCCAAAAAAAGAAAATATTACAGAGGAAGAGCAACTAGGGGAAAGAAAATATACTGAACTATAGCCAATGGCAAAGTATTTGAGAAATGGTTTGAACAACACCCAGCTAGCATGTTTAGGAAAGAGAAGCAGTTGGGAGCTCAATATCAAAGTGAATGAACAGGGCAAACAGAAAAAGGGGAGTTTTGTGATGGAACTGATGTATTGTAGAACAAATTAGCTGCATTTAAGGAAGATTGTCCCACCACACTGGGTGAGGCTGTGTGTTTTTCTTCTAGCTGAATGGTGTGTCTGCTTGCTTGCTTGCTGATTACATGATCTAAGAGCCTATGTCTAAAATCACATGGTCTAAGCCATAGCCAAATCACTTATCAAAAGATTTGTTAGTAGGTAGTTGCCTCCTTAGCCAAAAGCTCATTACCAACCAGCACTCTTTGGAAATAGGAAAGGTAGTTGGAAGCTGACAACCAGAGTGAGCAAAGGATCAGGAAATGTTTGAGAGAAATGGACAAGGAGAGTTGCTCTCACTGCCCATCTTCAGAGACTTAGCATCAAGGTGAGTTTAGCCACTGGGTGAAGAAGCCAAAGTTTAAGATCTGCAAAAGTGTAACATAGGAGCTATTGTTTAGAGTTAATAAAGAACAGGAATACAGAGTTATCCACAATAATGAGTATGAAAATAGAAAGCAGGCAGGGGAGAAAGTGCTTTCCAGTTTATTGCAAAGAATATCAAATATACAGTTATCTGTCTCTTGGGCTAAGTTGTGAATTCATGATCAGTCCCTGAGGCTCCTGGCTCCCAGGTAGCAAATCCTTTCCCTTAAAGCCTAGTGGAAGATCTGATGATGTTTAGACAAAATGGCAATTAGTCAAGAACTTTGGGATGTAATAGCTTCAACCCATTCCCAAAATGACAATTCTCCAACTGTCAGGAAAAACAAAGGTTTTGAGGAAGGAGAGCATCATTTTGATAAAGCAGGAAAGATCCAATCCTTGGATAATGAACCCATATCCTCTCATACCAAGGATATTCCTCTTGTGATAGAGGCTTTTGGTTGTGAGTGATTCAATCATTCAAAACATAGGCAGATGTAATAAGTATAGATCACATGGCAATTTATCTGCCTGGTTCAAAAGCAGATAAGCTAGATAAGCTGCCAAATAGTGCTGGGGAGAACACAGTGATCCATGCTAGCACCAGTAACGGGGAAATGTAGCTAGTCAAATGTAGGCTGCCAAGGAACAGACTGAAGTCCAGGATTACCAATGTAGTGCTCTCAAAAATGTTCCATGTTCCATGCACAGCCCAGTTAGATAGACAGAGCTCAGATATCTCAGTGCATGGATTGCAGACTGGTCAAGTGGAAGGCTTTTGATCTGTTAGGTATTGGGGAACATTCAGGGACAAGCCAAACCTGGACCAGATGCATTCCACCTAAACCAAAATGGAACCAAACTGCTGACACAAAGCACCAACATGCGGCAAAGCACTTTTTAAATTGATCCCTGGGGAAAGTCAACAAGTGCTGGGCAACATTTGGTTTGGAAGCATATAGATGTTTAAAGAAGACTTATAGTGGATAGAACTGATGTTGGAAGTGGGTCATGTCAGTTAGGTTATGAAAATCTGTGAAAAATGTTCACGTCAATGCCATTTCAAAAAGACTAAGTTTTACAGGTGTTTCTTTGCCAATGATGGAACTCTCCAAGCCAAGATATAAGAATTAGAGTTCTTGGTTGCTAACAAGAACATAGATATAGTTGGTATAATAGAAACCTGGTACAGGGAAGCATTAGGATAATCACTCATGATATATAAATTTTATAGAAAAGTTAGAGAAAGATGCACTGGGGAGGTCTTGCTCTTTATATTAATACAGCTATAAAATATTACATGCTGAAAAGCATTGGAAGACCATTCCTTACAGAATCATTATGAATGGGAAGCCCTGCCACATCTGTAAATTAGATCTAGTGATTCGCTAGTGCCTACCTGATCAAAATACTGAGGAAAATCATGAGAGATGGAAGAAATCAGGAAAGCATGCAAAGGAGTAGTTCTTGTAATAATGGGAGACTTCAATTATCTTCACCCAGACTGGGGTACATTTATGCTCAGGCCAAGAAAAAGAAAGCAAATTTCTAGATATTTTAAATGATTGGGTCTAACAGTTGGTCTCCAAATCAACCAGGGGGGAAAACCCTAGACTTAATTCTAATTAGGGACTATAAACTGGTACAAGGGTAACTGTTGAAGAATCAATAGGAAACAATTACTATTGTGCTTTCACATTCAGCATACATACAAATGGCAAACTGCTAACAAGGTCTGAGACACTCACATCTGAGTACAAACGAGAAACTTCCAAAAAATAAGGGAACAGTGAGAAAGAGACAGAATGAAAAAGAGAGTCAACCTCTTTGTGGTGCCTGGAGATCATTTAGAACCGCAGTAACTGAGGTTAAATTAGAACATATTCCACTATGCCAAAAAAAAGGTCATCTACAGTCAGGACCAGAAATATTGGAACAAGGATAACTGTTTTGGCATTTGGCCTCTG